GCATACTAGTGACATCTCAAGAAGTTAAAGATGCACTATTAGCCATGGATGGATCCAAAGCCCCTGTATAGGATGAGTGGACTGCAGGCTTCTTCCAAAGGAACTGGGTTTTAGTTGGCTTTGATATAATCGAGGGGGTTCAGCATTTCCTCCAGTTCAAGACTTTCCCTCGAGGTTTGAACTCTGCATCTCTTACCCTGGTTCCTAAAACCCTTAATGCTGATAATCTGGGTGCATATAGGCCCATTGCTTGCATTAATATTCTCTATAAGATAGTGGCAAAGGTCCTCTCCAATATACTCAAGTCTGTACTTCCTTCAGTTATTAGTAGGGCTGGTATTCGGTAAACCGGTATTCGGTATACCGGGTATCGAACCGATTATAATCGGTATTCGGTATACCGAATACCGTCGGTATCGGTATTCGGCTGCACTTCTTGGCCAAACGGTATACCGAATACCGACCAGTCATATACCGACGGTAAATCGGTATACCGAATAACAAAAATAAAAAAAGGAAACGACAGCGTTTGAAATTGGGAGGGGAGGGGGCGTGTAAACCCTAAAATTAAATCAACATCTGCGCAGCCCAGCACATCGGCCCCTCCACCTTTCCTCTGTTCGACTTCAACTCTTCTTCTCCAGCCCGCCGAGGCGAATTCCAGCGCCACCACAGCACGCCCCGGCGGTCTTCCCCCAGGACATTCATCCCGCCCTTTCTTTATCGGTCGCAAATCCCTTTCCACCAACCGCCGCCACCACTACTATCTAATCCTTTGCCTAAACTCAAATTCTCCTTATCACCAAGGGGATGCTTTGAGCGTCAGTCAGTTCCAATGCTTCAAGTTCCAAGTATTCACAATAAACTTCAATTGGATTCCAATTAGTTAATCTCCAATGCTATCGTCAGTTTCTTTATCTCGACTTCTAATGGTATAATCTCAATGCATTAATCGGTATTCGGTATACCGGTATTAATACCGGATATCGAGTATTCGGTATCCGGTATACCGGATAACATTCGGTATCGGTATTCGGTGGGTACACAATGTTATCCGGTATACCGGATACCGACCGATTACCAGCCCTAGTTATTAGTAGGAATCAATCCACATTCATTCAAGGAAGAAGTATCCTGGAAAATATACTCATGGCTCAGGAAGTTGTTCAGAACTATAAAAGAATGCAGATTTCTTCTAGGTGTGCAGTGAAAGTTGACTTGAAGAAAGCTTTTGATTCGGTCAATTGGGAATACCTTAACTGTGTAATGCTACAAATGGGATTTCCTCAGCTTTTCCTAGATTGGATTCTGGTTTGTCTCAATTCTGCTAATTTTAGTGTGTTCCATCCATGGTAGCCTATTTGGATTCTTTCAAGCAGCAAAGGGAGTCAGGCAGGGGATCCCCCTATCCCCTTCCCTGTTCACCATCGCAATGGAACCATTAACAGGTCTCCTAAACCAAGCAACAGCTGCAAATCTGATCCCTTTCCATCAACAATGCAAAAAGTTCGAGCTCACTCATCTATGTTTCCCAGACAACCTTCTGATCTTTCCAGAAGGTTCTGTCAGGGCTTTGACTGGAGTTAGGCAAACCCTGAACACATTTTACCAACTGTCAGGTCTGCAATGCAATCCTGAAAAAATGCGAGGTTTTCTTTGGAGGGTTTGCTCACCAATAAAAACATATAGCTTTACAAGTTTCAGGCTTCAGAGAGGGACACCTACCTGTGAGATACCTTGGTCTCCCTTTGATCTCAGGTAAACTTTCAAGTCTTGAATGCTCTCTGATCATTGACAAATTGACAAGACGTGTTAGAAGCTGGAGCACTCATCCACAACTTTTTTAGGGGGGGGGGGAGTTACAACTTATTGAATCACTGTTATACTCTCTCATCCACTACTGGATGGCAGTATTTTTTCTACCCAAAAAAGTTATTAAAGCTATCTAGAAAGTTTGCTCATATTTTCTCTGGCATGGGGACAAATCAGGAAGAGTAAAGGTGGCATGGGAGCACTTAGCCTTACCTACACAAGAGGGAGGTATGAGATTGAAAGATTAATTCTCCTGGAATGTGGCATGCATTGCCAGATTAATATGGCTTCTTCTCATGAAAGGGGGGAGCTTCTGGGTTTCCTGGGTTTACTCTCATCGGTTGAAAGGAAATTCTATTTGGGAGATAAAGATCATTGATGCAGGCTCCTGGATCTGGAGACAAATGCTAAAAATCAGACCTTGGCTTCATTTTAGAATGGATGTGGATAACGATGGCTCTGTCACTTGGCAAGGGTGCAAGTTCATACGAGCTTCTGTTTCCACGATCTAGAAAACAATTCGCATCAGGAAACCTACAGTTGACTGGTGGAAGATTATCTGGGGTAAATTCACTCTCCCTAGATGTCGACTCCTATCTTGGCTTGTAATTATGAACAGGATAACAACACGGGACATGCTTAAGAACTGGGGGCTGCTGATTGATGATAGTTGTCCTCTATGTGCAGCTACTAGTGAATCTCGGCAACATTTATTATGCGAATGCTCCTATACTTGCGAGTTTCTTTCTGCAGTACTCAAGACTAATATTCATTTGCCTAGAACCTGGGAAGAGATGGTTTTACTAATGACACATAGTACACAAAAAGATGACAACAGAGGTAAGATTGAAAGTACTATTTGGCGTTGATGCATTTCTTTCATATGGAAGGAGAGGTGCAAGATAGTATTTGGCAACAATCCGAAGCAGACTGCAGTCCTTGCAGCCTTGTTGCAGGAAGAAGTGTTGCTATTTAGCAAAGGTAATGTGGAGTTCAACACCTTTCTCAGGAGTATCCCTAATTTACACAAGATTATTGACTCTAAGTAGGTGTTAGTGTCTACGGTTTCTTTCCCCAGATGGGAGTTAGAGTGTTGGCAAACTTTGTTTTGTCTTGTATTTTTTCGAATCTTGCAATTTGCAAAGAGGGTGCTTTAATGAAAGTTATTAATTATCGGGGGAAAATCTCTGAACTACATCTCACACTTCTCTGTCCGAACTTAAAAATTTCTCCCAAAATACAAAATTAGAATGAGGAGATGAACGAACCCAAAATGAATTCCTCTGCTAGTTCGTCAGGCGCTGATTTCTTTCCATTCTTTTGATGAAGAATATTTACAAACTTGTTGAGTCATCATTTAAATTGCTTGAGTGAGTGGTATACTAGATCCTAAAAGTTCTTTCAGGTTTTTTTATGAAGAAAATATTTATAAAATTGCTCGAGAGTTTATCCTTGAGATTTTGAAGGCTATTAGATGCATTCTTTGAAGAATGATCTACAATATTATGCCGCTCATGTGGTGCATAGTCATGAATATGAAGTTTCTTTCCTTGAAAAATTACTAGAGAAGCGGGTGGAAACAGAGATGGATACACAATACAAAATAGATTTGTCGGTTGATTCGTCTAATGTTGACCTAGCTCGTTTCAACGGCTACTACGGAGATAACATTTTCTGGAATGAAACATGTGAAAACTTATTTATGCAACAAAATGAGCGATGAATTTCTCGTTGATTGATTAACTATTTTTTTTTAGATAGAGTATGTTACTGGTATGGATGAAGACTCCATGATTAGATGGATTCACTAAATTAAAAGACCGTCATGTACAATTGACATTGTAATGACAACTATAGTCATCATTTATTTTTTGTTTACGGCCCAGTACTCTACTATGTCCTGTATCCGCCGCTGAGTTTAGTACCTACACTTTTTATATTTTACATTTTGGTACTTAAAATTTATTTTTTATACGGAAAATGTCATTGGAAAATTATGTTTTGGCACATAATTTTTTTTACAGTGACATTTTAGTACCTAAAATTTTCAAATATTCATTTGGCTCTAATGCTTTGATATCATTTGGATCCATGGATCAATCCACCAATCCATATGATCCAATCCACTTGATCATGGCTCCACTAATTCAATTCATCAATATATGGATCCAATCCATTTGTCACCTCTAGTCATTATATTACATGTGGAACCTATTTGTAATTTTATACAGTAACTATAAGGTCATATGCAATTTATCATAATTTAAGATAGGGCTAGTTCGGCCTTGATGTAACTTTTGCAAAAAACTGCTTCTGGTTGGTGCTTTTAGAGAAATACTTTTCAAAAAAGTAGTTGAGTGTTTGGCAGAAAAACCATTAGAAGTGCTTTTTAATATAAGAGGTTATGTAAAATGAATATGAAGGATTTATAATATAAAATACGAATAAAAATTCTAAACGATCAAAATGGATCTTGTTAGATTTCTTTTATATTGAGTAATATGATTTTATAATCTATATTATTTCTAAAATGATAGAAAAGAAAGAAAAATTTTCTAAAAAAATTAAGATATGGTAAGGACAATCTTTATTTTCAAAACAGCTTTTCGCATAAGTTCCAAATTGGAGTTTCTGCTTTAATGTTATACAAAAACATTTTTCAACTTTTAAAAAACCGAACTTTTAGATGTGTTTGAAACTGAAACCATTTCTAAAAATCGAGCCAAACATAAACATAATATTTTTACTTATTATGAATAGATTTGAGTAATAATGCGATAAAAATTTGACTAATAATTAACGTTAAGCATATAAATTATTGCGATAATGGTTGTCAAACTCAAAGCTATTCTCCGTACTAGCATTGGGCCCGGCCGTTGGCCGGTGTCTTGTAAAATTTTGAAGAATAGAAAAAATAAGTAGCATGATCAGCAGCTATTGGTTCAGCTTAATCAAATTTTGAGCTTATAAAATTGTATTCGTCATAGAAAACTCAAATAGCATCGACATAAAAACATTATCACCTACATAAAAACATCCATTGTAGTTGTAATTACCATGAAAAAGTAAGAGCAATCAAGAAATACTTGATGAGAAAGTTAATTGAAAATGATTAAAGTAATGCATAGATGGGCAAATCTCCCTACAACACACGATGATGGACTCAAGAAAACAAATGATTTTAATATAGCAGACCAAGTGTGTTGTTTAAGTAGTAGGAGGAAGTTTTAAAGCACAGCCAATCTGGAATCAATAAGCAGCAGAACCTTGGCAACAGTATTTTATTCATAACACCATCTATCAAACTATCTAAAAAATGCAGCAAGCCTGGTCAGGCAAACAACCTGCATACTGTCCACAACTCAAATTGAACAATAAAGGACAATCCAAAAGGGAATCAACCTAGAAATAGACGTTCAATATAAACCTGAATGAAAGATAATACTAAACACTCTGTAGATAAAAGCAAACTGCTAAACAGAAGCATGACAATGTGGCCCTTAACTGCATGAAGTTGCAGCAATACTACTTCTCATCGTCAAGGTCACCAGCAGCCTGTTTCCTTTTCAACCCAGTTAAGGTTGCTTCTCCAAGGTCTTCAGGACTTGGAGTCTTGGTCAAATGCTGCAATCAAAGTTTAGAAATAAGATAGGTATAAACTATGATAGTAGTCTGGTACAGTTTAGGCAAACTGAAGTGATGTGCAGCTTAAATGCATCTACGCGTGCCTGAAGTGGATCATGATCAATGCTCACAACAAAATACTTAGCTTCAGGGTTCAAGAAATTGAACTGAGTTAGTTTAACATTGAGTTTCAGTGTCACGTTAACAATTTGTTGAATCTGAGGCATAATAGGTTCTTTGTTCCTCTGGTTTGATTGGAAAAGCACATAAGCCATTACTCTGAAAAAATTGCAGCCCTTCATGCTCCAAGATGGCAAAATCAGCTTCTCTAGTATCATCTCGCAACAGGAATTTGACTCTATACTTAAGGGGAACATGTAATGAAATACAACAAAATCATAAATCTGCATTGCTCATCCATATGCTGAAGTAACATATTAATTTAACATCAAACTGATTCTGCAAAATGTGCAAATTGCAGGATGTACATAGCAAGAATCTGATTATCTGCTCACTTGGCTTTAGCAATGGAAATTGGTACGGATGGCCAGTCATCAAGGACAAAAACACATAAACCACTCTAATTAGTTAGCAATTGCATAGATATCTCTTTGGAAAAGGAAAAGAAGGGTCATCGCAGTACAGGTTGGGCAAAGGCAAAATATATATCTTACGCACATGAATCCACGAATCCGCGGCTGCGAAGTTGCTTGGGTAGACGAATGCAACGCCCCACGGCCGGCGAGATTGAGGGAGAGATTGCGTCGAGAGAGACGGAGAGCGCGAGATTGAGCGAGAGATTGGGTCGAGCGAGACGGCGAGAGAGACCCGGACAGGGACAGCAACTGCGATACAGCTTTTGTTTTCTGGACGGCCGGCGAGATTGATTGTGGACGGCCGGCAAGATTAAGCGAAAGATTGGGGGATAGAGACGATGAGGGATTTCTGATGAACAGAGTGTCGCCGAACGATGGGAGAGAGCCGCTTAGAAGACGAAGACTTTCACAAAAAAAAAACGGAGTCTAAATTTACAAAACGGACCCTCCGAACTGTGCGCTATTTGCAGCAAGGGGTGACGTGGCAAAACTCGGATCTTGACATTGCTATAGGGAGTTACTAATTAACGCCCTAAATTTTTAAAATTTATCGCCCTAATTTTGCAATTAGACGTTTTTGCCACGCACTTTTATTCCCAGTCTCTAACAAATATTCGCCCTAGAATTCTTCACAGTCACCGCCGTTCGTCTGGGAGTCACCGTTGCCGCCACAAGTGCCTTCCGCTGCGCTGCTCGACCTAGGGATTCCTCGAGGTGGCCTTGTCGACGTCACCATCGCCCTAATCCCATCCGGCCCAATCTCCACCGGCGGAATTGTGTCTCCGGTTGTTCTCTTCTCCACCTCCGCTGCTGTTCGGTCCTCCCCGTCGTCGCCGCCATGCCTGCTGGGTGCGCCGATCGGGTTCCATCATCTGCTACTGCCGAGCGATAATGAGGAGGAAGAAGTAACTGCTCAGTCCGACCCGCAGCAGAGCAACTCTTTTCTTCTTCGTCCTTGAGCGGCGCAGCAGCGGAGGAGAATTTCACCGGCAACGTGCGGATGGATTTGGGGGCAACAAGCAGAGCCAAGCTAGGGGGGAATCTTCCGCCGGCGACGACGAGCATAGGGCGTGGGAGGGGTGACAAGCAGAGACAAGCTGGGGATTAGGGCGATGGACTGGGGGCGTGGGTGAGGAATCTTCCGCCGGCGACGAGCAGCGGGCTTGGGAGGGAAGATGAGCAGATTCAAGCTAGGGATTAGGGCGAATAGATTGAGGGCGACCGTTTGGGGGGTACTTTGGTCCGTTTGGTAATTTAGAGCGAAACTTTTTAAAATGTTAGGGCGTTAAATAGGAATCCAGTTGCTATATAGTGTTTTCTAGAAAACATAAAAGAGGGGGGAAAGTGAAACCAATCTAAACCAGAAAACTGAAAAGCTCCGAACATGAGGGGCTGCTGCAAAACCCTAATCCAGAGTTCCCTCCCTTCCCTTCACAACTCGAAACCCTACTACATCTCCAATTCCAACCATGTCTTCCCCTTCCTCCCCCGTGCTCTCCCTAGCTTCTCCTTCAATTCTACGTCTCCCAGAGCCAAACTTCCCCACACCTTCCATATCCACTCTTCCTCTTCTAATTCCAATTCTTCAGCAGCACTAGAACTAGCAATCTCTTCGGAATCGGCCGAAGATGAACCCCAAGACGACCCGAAGAGGGACACCGTGGAGCACTTGCTCACCAACCCAGACGACATTTCCAGGCTGATGAAGATGGAGAGGCGGCAGCAGGGCGATTGTGAGAAGCGATGGTTTCCTTACTTGGATGCGTTCAAATGTGGGAATGGCGCGTGCTTGAGTAGCGGAGAAGTGTTGGAAGCAATAGCGCCGTATATGATGGAAGAGAGGAAAGAGAGGTTCAGGACCGCCGTGAAGAACCGGAGTTACTCTGTTTGTCTGGTGGTGGAAGGGTTGAACGATTTCGGGAACGTTTCTGCTACGTTTCGTTCTGCTGATGCGCTCGGGTTTCAGTCCGTTCATGTCATCAACCCGGATAGCTCGAAAAGGTGCTTCGTGGGTTGAGGTGAACCGGATTCAAAATCGTTTCTTTTTTTCTTCTTCTGAAGTACATGTGAATCTTTGGCTGTGTTAAAGTACGTCTTCTAGTTTTCTTTGTAGAATCTCTTGTTTGGAAGGCTGGAATGAGGTATGGAATAGTGAATTGACGGAACTATATTACCACCTCTACCTACTCTGCAGGTATAGAGATAACCGCCATGTTAGCATGGGAGCTGAGAAATGGTTGGACATTGAGTTGTGGGACTCTACTGCAGAGTGCTTCCAAGTTCTCAAGTCTCGTGGTTATAGAATTGCTACAACGCATGTTGGAATGGATGCGGTAAGGAATCATTACCTCTGCATTTTTGGGTTACTTTTCTACTTTGCAAATGATTATGTGAATGCCATCGATTTGAGTTATGATATTTATGAATCACCTTATGCAATGTTCAACAGCAGATTTTGAACCGTTGTTGGGATTTCTGTGCTATGCCAGGTATCGATTTATGACATGGATTGGTCATGCCCTACTGCAATAGTTGTTGGCAACGAACATAGGTATGTATCCCTCAAGCTTCGCCATTTCTAATCATAAGTTTTAATTTGAATTATTCCTTTTGGATGCGGAGAAAAGTTTGAAACTACCTAAGAGAGTTCCTTGCTATCCTGTAATGAGAACCCCGGTTAATGCTTCTGATGTTGAGAAGTTGTTTTAGAACTAAGATGAGATTATGACTTCTCACAAGGAGGCTTATCGTCCAATTGCACCTCCTCAATTGGATATCCCCACAAGCATCTATATATTTGTTATCACTGTTTTGTTACTGCAGAACTAGATTGCTGACAGAGGTTTTTGTGTGCAGGGGGATAAGTGACCAGGCACTTGGACTTTCAGATCTGCATTGCAGTATACCAATGAATGGCATGGTCGACTCTTTCAATGTATCAGTTGCTGCTGGCATTCTCATGCACCATGCTGTTTGTGACAGAACTTCTCGTCTGGTACCTTTTTCTTATGGCTGGTAGTTTATGACAATCAATATTGGTGGAAGGAGTTACGATATACCCCGGATAATGTGTAAAATGCAGGGGCGGCATGGGGATTTAACAGCAGAAGAAAGTAAGATACTGCTGGCTGAGTTCTCACTGCGCCATAGCAAGAGCGCGATAAGCATCGCCCATGAATATGCAAAGAGAAGTAAGGCTTCCACGCCTGTACCAAAGCTGTGATGCAGACGGTAAGAAAAGCAAAGAAACATCTGCAACGGGCAAATTTGCGTTGGTTTCAATTTCATGAGAGGCAAAGAAGAAATCACACAGTTAATTGGTGCTTGCCTGGAAACAAGTGGAGGTGACGAGCTTTATCAAGTGCAGGCTCTAAAGAGAGAACTCAAGCAGGTATAGATACTGATGGCTTAGATTCCTTACGACTCAAAAACATTGTACTTGTTACATGCTTATCATTTTGATAATGGAAAAGGCTAGTTGATCTTCAGAACCTCCCCTTATAATTGATCTCACTGTTAAGTGTTAACCCTGCTAAAACTTGAGATGATTGAGTGTTTCAGAATGTTGTGGTGATGCCACCTAAGTCCATCCATTGATTGAAATCCTGCCAACATGATTGGAACTGATAGGGTGCCTTTCACAGAGTAACCGGACCTGACTGATGTGAAACACCCAGACCAGACGTCATACAGTGCTCAAATGGGCTGGTCGAACCAGAAATCGTTCTTAGCATTTGTTTTAAACTAACTACCCAGAAATCAGTTGCTCATAGCTTTGGTCGATTTGATTTTTAGACCAGTTTCTTTAGAGCATCTAATTGCCTCAAAATCAAGGGCTCAAAAGAGTTTACCCTAAATTTGATCTGTCCAAATTTAGCAACAGAATATGCAAATTCCTTCAAGGAATTGTGTTAACTTTCACATAAAAACCAAATCATCATTTTTCTCTTATCCTCTTAAGAAACTCTCTTTTATCTCTCGTTTGAGTTTTCCCTCCTTTGAAGGGAAAAGCCTTTTCTAGGGTTTTCCCAGATTAAAGATCTTGTGATTTTTTCTCTGAGTTTGCCCTAGAAATTGCTTTGGTTATTGATGAACATAACTTAGTCTACTATAGATTAATGGTCAATCCAGGTACGTACACCTACATGCTTGCAATGCTCTTATTTGTGTTTGTCCATGATAATAATTAGGTTCAAAATTACTCTATTGGGTAATTGTAATTTATGGGAGTTCTCCTTCCCACTGCGAAATGATTTCTCGGCAAAAGGGAAAATTATTTATTTTACATGAAAATTGACAATTCACATATAGCTTTGACTTACAAATGTGTTTTCTTTTTGTTCTCTTTCGTTAGGATAAGCCTATCACCATTTGGCAAGGAGCTGATCACTGCACTAGCCAAATGGGTTCGAAGATATCAAAGCAAGGGTCATTGAGAGTTGCAAATGCAACTTTGCAAAGTAGCACTCATGATTCATTGATTAGCTATCTAACCACAAGTAACATTTTACGTAACTTGGTATCCAAGCATCGGCGCCGAATGCTCATTGCCGGTTACGATCTCGATATGTCTTACATCACGGATCGTGTACTCGCGATGTCGTTTCCAGCCGAACGTATGAGAGCCATGTATCGTAACCCACTCTGGCAAGTCAAATCAGTGTTGGATATGCGGCATGGTGGACACTACAAGGTTCTTTGATTCCCAACATCATCTTACATTTGGGTAGAAATGTCTACAGATTCAATCGGATGAACGCGTTGATTTTGTCTGGTCTCATTATCTATCCATAATGACATTTTTTGTAAACACTTATAAAATTATCTTCATAGATAAAAACATGCTTAGGTGAAACGATCAAGCGGTATTGAGTCACGCATCTATCCAATCCTATCACCACCATAGCCGAATTTATACGTACTTTGATATGTGCTTAGTTGTGTTGGTTTACATTGTAGGTGTATAATTTATGCATTGAGCAATCGTATGATCCATCACACTTTCACTCTCGGGTCGAGGCGTTTCCCATCGACGACAATCACGTCCCAGCTCTCCCCATGATCAAGCTCTTCTGTGAAAATGTTGATTCCTGGTTATCTCAGGATCCTAAGAACCTTGCTGTTATACATTGCATGGTAAATTTTGGTTGCTAGAACGATTTTTCCTTTCGCACTCTGTTCCAAAGACTCCGAAATAAGCGTGCGTGGATTCACTTGTCTTGGCCACTCGTTTTTATATAGGCTGGCAAAGGTCGAACTGGATTAATGGTCTGTGTTTACCTAGTCTACTGCGGCATGACAGCAGAAGATGCTCTCCAGTTGTATGCGAGTAAAAGGACTACCAACAACCAAGGTGTAAGTTTTAAGAACCGTGCGAAGGTTAATTCGACCCTTGAACTTTCTTCATTCGACGAATTCGATGCATAAACTTCGAATCGAGTCAAGTCAAACCCCAGAAGTAGCAGGATTACCAAAGTTTTTCTGTGTTTCCAATTGTTGCAGGTGTCTATACCAAGTCAGCGACGTTATGTTCAGTATTGGGCTAGTGCACTTTCTTTTCCTAGGGGAATCAACAATGGCCCTCCTGATGTGAATTTGCCTCCATCATGTAGTAGAGAACTGCGACGAATCCGGCTCTACGACATTGTTAACACAGATTCTGTCTTCTTTGTGGTCTCAGAGTTGCAGGAGGTGAGTAAATTTCCAGTTCTGAAACTTGTTTCTCGCAGGCTGAATCTCGAGATAGTTGTTGTGTTGATCCATTTAGATATATCCACAGATTCCTGGTCAGTTGTATCGACCATCGGTAGAGGTTGCCAAAGGTAGTTGTAGGCAAGTTAGGCAAGGATATCATAGGACTTATAGTCCTAGGTATTACATTTCTTTTGTGGAAGATGATGAAGATGGGAAGACATCAGATTCAGATCATCAGGAACCTCATGTTGTTGTCCAGATGGATACTGAGAGTTCCATCATCTACCAAAAGACATGTCTTGATCATTACTTTGAGAAGCCAGTAGAGGTAAGTAGCAAACATTTCTTGAACCAGAGTATTCATGATCAAAGATAAATCATGAACTTATTATAGAGTTTTTTCCTGTTGTATATGAAATCATGCCGAACTATGCAGTTAAGTGGAGACGTTCGAATTATATTCTACGAGAAGATGATAGGAGGGAGACTCTTTTACGTCTGCTTCAACACATCTTTCATAAAGAACAGCTTGCTACAAGTACTACTGATAGAGAACCCTGTTTCCCTCTTTCTGTTATATCAAATTCAAGATTCTGTGAAATACAGTAGTAATTTTTTGTTCTTTGTGATGTTGTTGTAGTTTACACCTGGAGATCTTGATAAACTTGGGAAGAGAGGCAGGTTAATGTGTGGCCCTTCATTTTGCTTGGAGCTTACGTTTGGCCCTGCAAACTCAAAGTGTTCAGAGTTGCCCTTTGTTAGCAATGTTGATTTTAGTGATGGACTAGAAGAAATGTGACCAAGAACTGAGAAGAGCAATGTGATCCTCCTTTGTAATGTGGTTTTCGCCCTTGTGACTTGTGAGAGAACATTAATGTGTATCACAACTTCTTGTTGTTGCATAGCCATAGTTTCTATATCCATACTCAAAACTGCAATGAGCATTGAGATATGAGGAAAATCATTTATATTTTCTTTGGAAGATATAGAAGAATATGATTAATGTTCGGAGGAACTCATTTCTTCGGTATTTGATCGAGCATTTTTCATCTATATGAGAGACCATATTTTATGCTTCTATAAAGTCATTGCTCTGTCCTCGAAAACACATTCATCCTCCTTTATAGATAATATCAATAGGGGCGATTTCAATTGCACTCCTTGATTGTATGAAAAATGAGATGGTGCATCAAAATATCAAATGACATATTTACACAATGGATTCAATGATTCATTGTTTTCCTACAAGTATGAAAAGAGATCGAATAAATGAAAGGGTCAATCTTTCCATATGACGAGAGGAGTGTCTACATATATGAAATCAGGAAAATTGTAGAAGTTCCTATACTAGGGAGAGTAATTAGGTGGCTAAGATTGGATTCGCCAACCAATCGTTATATGGGTGTTTTTCTTTTCATTTTTACTTTCTTACATTTACACACTATTGTCAACTTTCAATACAAATTATTATTCACTCTAAAACTTACAAATTCGTTATATCTAAAATTTACCTCCAAAAAAATTTCACTTGCCAACTTTGTCCTTTAAGAATATTCATTTTTCATCAACTTTACTTTTTCTAAATTCTTACCAACCATAATTTCTTTCAAATCTTTGAAATGGCGAACACAGATTAATGAAGTTTCGGCAGATTTACGATACAAAAATTTTAGGAATAAAATTCATCAAATTAAAAAAAGTATAAAAAAAACTTTATATCTATTTGATTCACATCGGTTATATAATCTTCACTTCCTTGGATAGATTTGATCTTGTGACCAGTTACTGTCCATTATCTTTTTTTTTACCATGTTTATCATGCAAGAATTTTTTTTTTATCTTACTATCTTTCATTTTGGTGTGGCAACAAATTTAACAAATTAAAATTATGAAATCACACATTCCCACTTCTCCTCGTATCGTAGGAGTCTCCTAAAACATTAGAATCCCCTTCCCTTCCTTCGCCGGCTTCCATTTCTTACCCATTTCACTCTCCTCCATTCTCCGACCTTTTGCAAGCAAATATGCTTCCTCCCACCATGACTAAAGCCTAATCATTTCTCTCTCCATCCATCTCTTGTTCGAGCAGTCTTTCTCTTCCGTGCTGTTTACTCCCATCAGTTATGGCGACGCCGAAACCCCAGAGGTCCCCCGAAGAAATCGAGGACATAATCCTCCGCAAAATCCTTCTAGTCACGCTCGCTACTCCTGCCCATGGCGCCGATCCCAGAATCATTTACTTGGAGATGACCGCTGCCGAGATTCTCAGCGAAGGTAAAGACTTGAGGCTTAATCGCGATGTCGTAGAAAGGGTGTTAATTGATCGCTTGTCCGGCGAGTTCCCTGACGCCGAAGCTCCGTTTACTTACCTACTCGGATGTTATCGCCGGGCTGTTGATGAACTGAAGAAGGTCGCCAACATGAAGGACAAAACCGTCAAATCTCAGGTGGAGGCGTCCATCAAGCAGGCTAAGAAGCTGTTCGTTAATTATGTTAGAATTCATTTGGGCAATCCGGAGTTGTTTCCTTCGAATTCACAATCTCTCGCTGGGAAATCCACTATTTGCAGCCTCACGCCGTTGATTTTTGGAGCGGTGGATAGAAGTGGGTTTGGCGGTGGTGGAGGGAGTCAGCCACCGCCTCCTGGGTTTCTTGATGAGTTGTTTTCGGAGGCGGATTTTGATAGCTTGGACCCTATATTCAAAGGGCTGTATGAGGATTTGAGAGGTCATGTTATAAAGTTATCAGCTTTGGGGAACTTTCAGCAGCCATTGTCTGCACTGTTGTATTTAGTTAAGTTGCCGGCTGGAGCTAAGTCGCTAGTGAATCATCCTTGGTGGATTCCAAAAGGGGCTTACTTGAATGGAAGAGTGATTGAAATGACCAGTATTCTTGGACCCTTTTTCCATGTTAGTGCATTGCCTGACCATACCATATTCAAGAGCGAGCCTGATGTTGGGTGAGTTAGAAACTAGTGGAATTTGATTATTTTGTTCCACATGCTTCGCCGTGTCTGGTTTTATTGATAAGTCACCTGAAATTTCTACAGACAGCATTGCTTCTCGGAAGCATCAACTCGTAGGCCTGCTGACTTATTGTCTTCATTTACTACTATCAAGACAGTTATGAATAACTTATATGAGGGTCTCTCGGAAGTTCTTCTTACTCTACTTAAGCATGCCGACATTCGCGAGCATGTCTTGCAGTATCTCGCAGAGGTGATCAACAGAAATGCCTCCAGAGCACATATCCAGGTAGGCGGTGGGCCGAAATGATAATTCAAGAATCTCTTGGTCATTACATCATGCATAAACTAAGTGAGGGTTTCTTGTGGTTTTTTCTGTCTGGGAAAGGGATGGAGTTAACATCTTTTTTGACATATGTCAGCATGAAGTTGCCATACTATGGCTTTTGTATCATCATACTATATGTTATCTGTCTTGTTCAGGTTGATCCCATATCTTGTGCAAGCTCGGGCATGTTTGTCAGTCTCAGCGCTGTTATGCTTCGACTCTGTGAACCCTTTTTAGATCCACATTGCTCAAAGATTGATAAAATTGATCCAGGATATGTGTTCTACTGTAACCGATTGGACTTAAGGTTGGATCCTTTGCACTTCTTTATTGTTAGCAGATTTTGCTACTAGTTAGTTTCATATCTTTAATTTCCATTGTTTTTCTGTTTGGTACCGTCTTAATCAGAGGGTTAACAGCCTTACATGCATCATCAGAAGAAGTTGCAGAGTGGATTAAAAATGATAGTTCTGGGAAAGCTGATATAAATTCTGGATCTGGTGATATAGAAAACCGTGTGGTCCAATCACAGGGAGCCAGTAGTTCTGGTGCTAAGCCTGCATCAAGTGGTGGTAAGGCTTCATACGCATTTATAAGTGAATGCTTCTTTATGACGGCAAGGGTGCTCAACTTGGGCATGCTAAAAGCATTTTCCGACTTTAAGCACTTGGTTCAGGTAATACATTCTTCTTTTGATAATCCTAATAATTTCCACAAGACTGCTCAAAGTACTGTAGCTTATTGATTGATTATCCCACTCTTCTTGGCCATTCAAGGACATTTCAAGATCTGAGGACACTCTATCGACATTAAAAGCATTGCATGAACAGTCACCTTCACCGCAAATGCAAATGGATATTGCTCGCCTCGAGAAGGAATTAGAATTATATTCTCAGGAAAAACTTTGCTATGAGGCACAATTACTGAGGGTACATGGTCTTTTCTGTTGTTGCTTCTGCTCTTTTCTCTCTCTATCCAACTGCCTGTTTAGATGTATGGGCATTTGATCAGTTGTTGAGCATGATGAATTCCCGAATGGTAAAGCTAAAGTCTCAATCTTTTCATTGGGCTTTAGCCTTTAGAATAATTTAGATAAAGTTCTCGTCATTTGTCGTGAGATTCATTGCTTTTATCCATTATCGTCTTCCCTGTCTTTTTTCTTTTCATATCTAGTCCCAGGCTAGTGTTTCTCTTTCGTAACACCTTGTAGATTGCATATTCTAGCTGGAACTTTGCTGTATTTATTATTATCCTCACGCTCCTAAGTCTAAGCTATTGTTTGAAGGACCCTACTCTTATTAAGCAAGGGCTCTCGTTCTACCGATTGATGGTGGTTTGGTTGGTCAGCCTGGTTGGTGGATTTAAAATGCCTCTTTCATCTACTTGCCCCATGGAATTTTCATCGATGCCTGAGCATTTTGCGGAAGATGCGATGGAGTTACTTATATTTGCTTCTCGGGTCCCAAAAGCTTTAGATGGAGTCATTCTGGTATACTTGACTTCACAGAGGCTTTTTTTATGATGTTTGCTTTCCTTGTTGAATAAAATATTTCATCTGCAACTGTTCTCATCTCTATCCTTCATTGGGATTGCTGGCAGGATGATTTTATGAACTTCATAATCATGTTTATGGGAAGTCCAACACACATTAGGAACCCTTATCTCAGAGCAAAGATGGTTGAAGTGTTGAACTGCTGGATGCCCCGTGGGAGGTGATTATTGGTGTTTTAGATATCGGTTTCTCCTCTTAAATGTGAATTGTAGAAAATAACCTGTGCTGTTGTATCTGCAGTGGTTCATCTGCTACAACTAGTCTGTTTGAGGGACACCAATTAGCTCTCAAGTATCTCGTGAGGAATCTATTGAAGCTTTATGTTGACATTGAATTCACTGGTTCGCACACTCAGGTTATGTCTGAAAACCACTTCTGAATGTGACAATATTCATTTGTGTTTTAAGCAGTTAATGATTGTTTGTTTTTATAATAGACATGATTTTTCTAGTTTTATCTGTGCCAAAAGGCTTTGTTTTTCAGTGTCCTTGTTTATTGTTGGAAGCAAGCACTTACTGCATTCATGAACTAGAGTAGATGGGTAGTACTTTGTGTTCTGGTGCATGGTGTAGAATTATAGTTAGTATTTTAGCTTCTTTGTTCTGTTTGTTTGTGCGTGCTATGTGACTCGTTAATGATGGCTCTTCCCGTGTTTTGGCTTCTGCAGTTCTATGACAAGTTCAATATCAGACATAATATTGCTGAGCTCCTAGAGTATCTGTGGCAGGTCCCTAGTCATCGTAATGCCTGGAGACAGGTAGAATACCGAGTATAGACCATTTAGTTTTCGATATCATTTGAGTATTTAAAGTGTCAAACTCGAATTTGTGTTACCATTTGCAGATAGCAAAGGAAGAGGAAAAGGGAGTTTACTTGAATTTCTTGAACTTCTTGATCAACGATAGTATATATCTTTTGGATGAAAGTCTGAACAAGATTCTTGAACTGAAAGAACTGGAAGCTGAAATGTCGAACACAGTGGAATGGGAACGGAGACCAGCTCAGGAGAGGCAGGAAAGAGCCCGGCTATTTCACTCCCAAGAGAATGTCGGTGTCTTCCTGACTTAAAATCATCACATATATGAGAGTTTTTTCTCAGTTGGATAGCTCTATCTTTGTGCAGATCATCCGGATTGATATGAAGCTGGCAAACGAGGATGTGAGTATGCTGGCCTTCACATCTGAGCAGATAACAGTACCTTTCTTACTCCCTGAGATGGTTAGTTCCTATTTGTATCAACTTCATTATCTCTTACAACTTGTAACTCGGATGTTACTTGTTGTTCAGAACTTGATATAATATTCTGCAAAATCCAGTTCCAGACCATTTCCAACTTCTTTTATTTATTGAAATGACAAGATTCTCTTGCATGACGCCAGTGTGTCGATGCTTGAAAGTTCTCTTGTTTGAAATCGTTGTCATCCTTAATAGTAGTAGGTAGTCACTTAGTTGTGAGTTACCATGGATTTTGCAAACTTGTAAATCATTAGGTTTTCCTAGTAACTCGAATTAGTGGGATGAGATTGTTTTTTTCTTGTCCCATAAGATCTTATTCTTAACGTGCACTATTTGCAGGTGGAACGCGTGGCCAGCATGCTGAATTACTTTTTATTACAACTTGTGGGTCCACAGAGAAAATCTCTTACTCTGAAAGACCCTGAGAAGTATGAATTTCGTCCAAAACAGCTCCTGAAGCAGGTTAGCTTAAATATGGAATTTGTGAATATTGCATATTGTAATCTGATAATGGTCTTACATTCGTGGTTTTCTTGTTTGGAAGATTGTCCAAATATACGTTCACCTAGCTAGAGGTGATAAAGAAAACATATTCCCAACTGCCATTTCAAAGGATGGAAGGTCATACAATGAACAGGTAAAATAGGGCATGTGTGCAGTTCCATTTCAGTGGGAACGACAAAATTGAGTTGCTTTATTTTGTTCTATTGATGGGTGAAGGAACTATCTGAGGACTGAGGTTATATTTACTGCTGCAGTTATTTAGTGCTGCTGCTGATGTTCTTCGAAGAATTGGTGAAGATGGGAGAATCATACATGAGTTTGTTGAACTTGGTGCAAAAGCAAAAGTTGCTGCCATCGAGGAAATGGACAGTGAAGCTGCTCTTGGGGAGGTACCGGACGAGTTCCTTGACCCCATCCAGGTAATTTTAGGTTAAAACGTATCATAATCTGTACGAGGGCTTAGTGCAGGAATTTTATTCCTGAAAATTTTCATCCCTTTCGCAGTACACTCTGATGAAGGACCCAGTTATACTACCTTCTTCAAGAATTACCGTGGACAGGCCGGTCATCCAAAGGCATCTCCTTAGTGACAGCGTAATTCTTCTACTTCCTTGCCTCTGAATTAAGTTCAAACAATATAGTCTGATCATTCTCTGATTTCGGGGCTTCTTGGTATTTGGGTTGTAAATGCAGACGGACCCCTTCAACCGTTCGCATCTTACATCTGATATGCTGATACCGGACGTGGAGTTGAAGGCAAGAATAGAAGAGTTCATCAGATCTCAACACCTTAAGCGGCATAGTAGCGACGACTTCAGCATGCAGAGCAGCAAAGCATCCATGCAAACCACCGCAGGGGACATGTTGATTGATTGATAGGAACTAGGAAGGAAGGACAATTCGTTCAGGGTAAACTTCTATTGAATGCTTCAAAATCAGGATTTTCTCCTTCACTTTTGTAACTAAAGATGTTCCAAGTCCCTCAATCCCATTGCACATAAGTTTATTGAGGCCTCTTGTAGAAGTTTGCCTACCATTACATTGCATTTAGTGTTTGCCTGTTATGGCATCAAGAACCCTACTCCAAAAAGAACTAACTAATTTATCTTCTTTATTCATGGAGCTATCAATGAGAATACCCTCCAACATGATCATATAACATGAACATACTGGAGGATATGCTTTGTTCATAATCTGAAGACAAATGACAACAAATGAATAAAGAAAAGAAATAACAAGTGTCTACCAAAAACATTGCACTCTAATTCACCCATTTATCTGATTTCATTCATTCAAGGTGGTCATGTGGTCTGATCGACATGAACATGGCGGCATACCTCAACAATTTATTTTCCATATCCCCACCACTCTCCACCACAGGGTTCATCGGACCAGCACCACCGCCACCTCTGGTCCTCCGCCTGTACCGCCGCCATGCAAACTGAATGTTCACGGCCGCCCACGTCCGCCAATTCGAAGAGTAATACCTCGCCGTCCTCTTCAGCCTCTCGTTCGCAAACTTGTACCGGAAATGGTCCGTAATGTACTTCAAGTGGTTGGCGTCGAGAGCAAATGCCTCCGCAGCTTCCACACACACAAACGTCGCCGACGAAGCCGGAAGCCGTTCGTTGAATGGCCGGCGTAGGCACCATGACAAAAGTTCGTCGCCAAGGAAGCCTCCAGCTTCGAGCATGTTAGTTGCTACAACTCCCTTGCTTAGCTTCTGCGAGCTTTTTATCTTCCCGCGGACTAAAAACACCATTCTTGGTACTGGATCGCCTTCTCTTATTATCTGTTTCCACAAAATAAAAAAACAATTCAGGTATATGAGGAAACACAGTCAAATCCCATGTATGATTGCCTTGGGGTGTGTTTGGATAAGTGTATTTTAAATGTAAGGTATTTGAAATACTAGCATTTGAAATGGATGTATTTGAAGTATTAGCATTTGAAATACATGTAATTCAAATTCATTGTTTGGATACTCATTTGTAATTTGTTTGTATTTTTGTATTTATGATTTTCAATTTCAATTTTTAATTTTCGGGCCACTTACTACAAATTTTGGTAAATTACATTTTGGTACCCGAAATTATTTTTTCTTACAATTTAGTACCTAAACTTTTAAAATTTTACAAAAAGGTCCTGAAATTTTGATGGTAAAATTACATTTTGGTACCTTTATATGTTTTGCCTCACACTATAGTACCTAAACTTTTCATATTTTACAAATAGGTCCATTCTTTTGTTAGGAGGTATTTCAAATCACTAGTTGTTGAAATGTATTTGAAGTTGACAAAAAATACACTAGACATGTATTTGGAAATCACCCCATGAATTTGACACAAATCCAAATACCAAATGTAATTAAAATCCAAACACATGATTTAGTATTTGAAAATCCAAATCACAAATACCAAATCCAAATCCTTGTATCCAAACGCACCCCAAGTGTATTTGAGAGTGATATTTGACATATGCACTAAATCGAACAAGCATTACTAGATGAAAACTTTATACGAATTACCTTCTCATCCTTGGAGAACACGATTGGCTTGACTCTGTCACATATGTTGTCGAGAATCAAATCGTCCAAGTTATGAAACAACGGCACCTGAATCACACCTCAAAACAATCGATCAAAGTAATTTCATTATTACTCATGATGCCAAATCAAACGAACTAATTAAACTAGATCCTCAATTGATTGATTTCACCTGACTCAATTTAATCTTATTACCTTCTTGATGAGGTCGAGGCAGAGGTATCGTTTGATGTCCCGCCGTAGCCCCTCGGGCAAGTCTTTGATCATTTCCATCTCATCCTCACCTCCCATGGTCGTCCACCTCTGGCGCTCGTAGTGCCGAACTCTCCGCCTCAAGCGGGAAGGCAGCTGCCTTCTTCTCATCCACCACTCCATGTCTCTGCACCTCAGCTGCATCTTTCTCTTCGTCGCCATCACCGCGTGCAAGAACACCTGCAAACATCCCCATACACACTCAGAAATCTTGATACTCACAACAATATCAATTGGGAAATAATCCATTCATGTTTGTTAAAATTCACACACCTGAATGTTACCAATCAACAAAGTGAAGAGCATCAACCCACTAAGTACTAGGCATATGCTGAACATCACTTCCAACCAGTTACTGGTTGGCTCAAGATCGTTCCCAAAGGTGCTGCATCCATGCACACAAAACCCCCATAGTCAATCAAACTAATCTCAAAACGCGGCATAGCTAGGTTGAAGTCAGGAGGAGCTATAGCCCCATCAAGGTTAAATTAGATGTAAAATTCGTAACAACAAATTGAGGATACAGAGTCTAGTTACCCCTCTTCCCGATTACTACAGTTCAAATCAGTCCCGTCATTGCCACTAATGTCGTACATAATTAAAATGTACACACAATCATGACTAGCTAGGTAATCAATCTTAATTACCTGAGGGTCATTAAGCCCCAGAAAATGGGGTAAAGAATCTTGACAGCCAAGGAATCACTGGAAATGACAGGGAGAGCCCACTTATAGATCCCATACTTGAAACTGCCATCCATGTCCAAGCACATTGGAGTCCTATTAGTACTACTCGAGTTATTGTAACCACCGCAAGAGCCGCTTCCGGCCGCCAATGCATCGGGCAAGACAAGGCGGAAACAGAGCTCTTCGGAGCAAGACAGGGAGAGGTCGCAGTTGGAGGACAAGTTGCACTGCTGCTTTATGCAGGAGGCGGCGCGCTGGATGGCGAGGACGTACCAGCATCCGCCGGCGACGTGGGAGGCGATGAAGTAGGCGATGAGGTTGAGGCCGAAACCCCACCAGATGGTGCCGAAGATGTAGCCGGTGACCTTCTGCATTCTCCTCATTAGGGCGAGGCTGTGGTATACTTTGGGCAGGAATTGGAACAGGAAGATGAGGAGCATTATTGTCATTATCAGCTTGATCTGCTCGTCTCTGATCAATCTTGGCACCACCAGCCAAAATACAGCCTGTATGCATAGTCAACAATCATCTACAACAATTTCATAGAAAAAAATCATCTATGTGCGGTCTGAGTCCATCTGCATAAACACTAGTAAGATTTATATTGGTGCTCCCAATAACTCGAGTTGTTGGGAGAGGTTCAATAATGGATCTTATACCACTCACTAACACACCCCCTTAAACGAAAGCCAGTCAGCCCATAAGGGCTTTCATTTGCACATGTCCTAAACACGAATACATGTGCTTCACTAATGGGGTCGAGGTGAACACGAATACATGTGCTTCACTAATGGGGTCGAGGTTCAATAATGGATCTTATACCACTCACTAACACACCCTCTTAAACGAAAGCCAGTCAGCCCATAAGGGCTTTCGCTTGCACATGTCCTGAACACGAATACATGTGTTTCACAAATGGGATCACCGGGATTCGAACACAAGATCTCCCGGCCACAACAGGCTCTGATAAAATGCCAAGAACCAGTTGCTCTCAATAACTTGAGTTGTTGGAAGAGGTTCAATAATGGATCTTATACCATTCACTAACAATATTGAGGTCAAATCTCGATTTAATCTGCATATCTTACTACTTCATCAAATAGGTTGTAGGAACGGGCGCTTCAAGCTTATATCATCGGCCGACTACTAAAGCCACCCTTTGAGACAGTCGTTGGCTTTTTGCTTATTTAATTTGATGTTGCAATGTTGTTATACAAAGATGACACTATCATTTCGCAATCATCTATCTTTTGATGATCTTCGGCGACAAAGTAGAAAAGTAGGATCTTGCGTCGTTGGCAAAAGAAAAGCTAAGGGACAAACCGGAGAAGATGACAGAGAGCTGCTCCATTATGATGTGGTCGCCGTTTATGGACAACTTTTAGTGACCAGATCTGATCACTTTATTCTTTGTTGTTAGATAGACCTACTGATCGCATAAGGAATAAAATATTATAGAACACAGCAGTGGTCTGATTACGGGCTCTATTAGGCGGCGTCATCAGTTTCATATTAACTACAACTAATATCCTAGTTGTTGCCGCTGTTCTTGTAAAGATTAACAATATAAAAGGTAGTTCCATCTCCTCCACAAAATACAAGACAGAAGCCTATAGACCAAACCATGATTTAGCGCCGTCTAATTGGCCACCAAAAATTAACAAACTATTTACGTACAATTAATGCACACGTGTATCAGAAGACAAAAAAAACCACTAAATATATGGCAATTTCGATATGTACTCTTTCACCGGGATTGGATGAAAGAGTACACATGTCACATCCAAATATTATACCCCCTCCATCCATCTTGAGAAATAAAATAACCATCGATTATCAGTCCTTTATGCTAATGCTACAAATACTTTTCAACCCCACAAATCCCCATCAGGGGTAAAAATATTATCGATGTAAGATATAAAAGGAGAATCTAATTTTTTTTCTTTTCATTTTTTAGCCCCGTAATTTTTTAAGTAACCCATTCCAGACTCCGACTTTCTTCGATTCGACGATTTCTATCTTCTAGCAGGTATAGGGTCAAATGGTCCTTAGTATCCGACAGCCAAAGTTGTGTCCAACAACAAGATCTCTCATCAATTCTCTCTCCCCCGCGCCATGCCAGGAAAAAAGAATTGAAGCTTTTGTAGTTGTATCCACGCATCACATGGGTGATGGGTATTACGGTTGTCCTCTTGCGGCCGTATGATGCAGGCAGGCGGCTCATCGGCCGCACAACCACAACCAGAACACGCAACATAACACGTTCGGTTCGGAAATCACCAGAAAATCACAACAACAACAACAACAACAACAAAAAAGGCGTGGGGTCGGTATCCGTACCTGGGGAACGGGGAGGATGACGAAGGCGTCGAACCAGAATCCCTTCAGCGACCGGAGGTAGTGGGCGGCGATGGCTCGCGGGTCCCACACCAGCTTCCCGCAGCCAACCACCATCGACTCCCGCGACACGTACGCCACCCGCAGCTGCAGCCACACGTGCACCAGGTGGACCCCGTCCAGGCACGTGCGGAGCACCGTCACGATCGCCGCCAGCCCGCCGTCCATGTACAGGCACGGGGATCCCCCGCGCCCGATCGACAGCGCGTAGAAGAACAGCGGGTCCACCGCCAGCGCCATGGCCCGGGCCAGGAGGAACGCCCGGTTCAGCCGCTGCACGCGCTTGCTCCGCGGGTCCAGCACCGTCCCGAACGCGCCGCTGGGACGGCGGCGGCGGGGGCGCGGGCGTGGGGCCGGGAGGGGAGTAGTACTGGTTGTGTTGTTGTTGGCGGTTGTTGAGTTGGAGTGGATAGGGACCAAGGAGGAGCCGGCGGAGGCCTCCCAGAGCGGCTGGTGGGCGGCGTCGCAGGTTGTGGAGTGGAAGACCGGGACGCCGACCTGCGTGCACGCGTAGCATTCTACGACGTCGTCTCCGCCGGTGCTGATTTCAGCGGTAGTGGTGTACGGTTCTGGGAGTCGTGGCCGGCGGTGGCCGCCGGAGAGGAAGGGGAGACGAAAGTGGGGCATGATGAGGATTGGAACGGGAGAAGTAAGGACAATGATGGAACCACCATGGGAGAGGGTAGAGAGAGAAGGAGAGGGAGGGAATTTGAGTAATTTGTTTAGGGAGAGGGGAAGAAGAAGAGAGCGAAATTGAACAAGAACACTTTGTTGATTAATAGGGCCAAGACAAGAGAGAGAGAGGGAGAAGGAGAGGGAGAGGGAGAGGGGAATTGCTATATGGGGTAGTGAAGGGGTAGGACAATTTTGGTTTGTAATGAAGGTGAGCTAAAATTAATTAAGGGCTAAATTACACGTTTGGTCACTCAAATTATACAAATCTTTCACGTTTGCCACCTGAATTACTTTTCTTTCTTATTCGCCACTAACTTTATGAATCGTTTCACGGTTGGTCACCGGCCGTTACACTCCGTTAAGTTTGTCCTACGTGGCAGTCAACTATAAAGTTTGACCGTTAACTAGATGACGTGGAAATTAAAAAAAATAAAAAATAAAAAAATTTCTTTCCACCTCATCATTGCACTTATTTTGTCTATATAATTTATCATATTAATAATTTAATAAAATTTAATAAATTATAAAAATGGACAACAGCCTCCAAGTGGCTCCCGGAGCTCTCCCTCTCCTCCTCCTCCGTCGACGTCGACAACAGCCTCCCTGCCGCCGCCGCGGCCGGCTCGGAAGAGAGCATGACCAAACCAAGATGAGGTTGTGCAGAACCGTGACGATTTTGGTGAGGTAGGTGGACTGGCATCATTTTGTGTGTGCGGAATCCAGAAACCAAACGGATCACACAAAATCTATCCCGATTCGGGAAGCTCTAGCTCCTTCTTAGATTGACTTTGACGAGCACAGAGAGAGGTTTAGTTTTTGTCAAAGACCATTTTTAACTTGTTGGAAAAATGACACCTAACGCGTCGGATGAGTGGTTAGACTTACCTCACCAGTTCACCACCTTTTCCCTCTGCCTGCTCCCTCTACATATATAAAGTCTCTCTTGTCACTCCTTAATTATATCACAGGAGATGGAAGTGATGGCGATCAAAGGCGATGTAAGCAAGCCGGCAGATTTGTTTGCGGAGCAGGAGGAGGAGGAGGAACTGTTTGAGATAGACATCGAGGCGGTGAACATAAATCACATATCGGTCGACGGCGACGGCTGCAGCGGAGTATCAAGTGCAAGTTCATCAAATGCCGCCGCTACTGCCCTGTTCGCCAAATGCCTGCACACCCAAGCTCCCGGACCCAAGCTGTACCGGCGGTCGTCATCAACCTCATCTTGGTTTGGTCATGCTCTCTTCCGAGCCGGCCGCGGCGGCGGCAGGGAGGCTGTTGTCGACGTCGACGGAGGAGGAGGAGAGGGAGAGCTCCGGGAGCCACTTGGAGGCTGTTGCCCATTTTTATAATTTATTAAATTTTATTAAATTATTAATATGATAAATTATATAGACAAAATAAGTGCAATGATGAGGTGGAAAGAAAGTTTTTTATTTTTTTTTAATTTCCACGTCATCTAGTTAACGGTCAAACTTTATAGTTGACTGCCACGTAGGACAAACTTAACGGAGTGTAACGGCCGGTGACCAACCGTGAAACGATTCGTAAAGTTAGTGGCGAATAAGAAAGAAAAGTAATTCGGGTGGCAAACGTGAAAGATTTGATAATTTGAGTGACCAAATGTGTAATTTAGCCATTAATTAAGGTAGGATTTGATTACAAGGAAAGAGATCGAGGAGAGTAATGTCATTGTCGTTATGATTATGAGTTGATTAGTTTTGAAATAGTTGGGAAGTAATGGACCGGAGAAGATTTTTTTCTCGGAAGAATCGATATCTTTTCCTGCTTTATGTTAGCGTTTACGTATTTGTATTACTAGATCTCGAATAATGCTAAATTACATTTGTTTCTTTTTTCAACCTCGGATATTAAATGTGTAACATGTTGAATTGTATCATAGTTTAAAGCTAAACATATACGAACCAGTGTCACTCACATCTCTTATATGGTGAAGGGAAGAAAGGAGGGAGATAATTGGTTTTGTAAGAGCTAGGAAGGAAGGAGAGGATATTACTTCCAAGAAAGATCATAGGTAGTTAGGTACTATGGTTTCCTCTCTTTTTTTTTTTTTTTTTTGTTTATTATGATGCAAGTTACTTATTATTTATAAGTGAAATTCTCAATACCTCTTGTTTAGTTAAGGCTGGTTTTATTTTTTTTATAATGGTGATATAGATTTAACTTTTTTTTTATTAAGGTATTACTTAAAGGGTTCGAACCTAGGATCTTCAGGTTCTAGGCTAGTGGTATTACTACCAAAATAAGTCCTTGTTTGTTGCACATTTGTTTATAGAACCGAATCGGAGGGTGAACCGGAAAAGTTAGTAGTTTAGGGTTCAGTGATTAATTGTTACAATATCGTTGGTAAATCGTTGATAGAACCGTTCATGATATATAAACATACAAGTAGGGATGACAATGGGGTGTGTTTGGTGTGGGTTTGTCTAAACCATCCTCATCCCCGCTTTCAAATATCCATATGCATGCGGAGAAGGTTTTGTAAACTCGTCCCGTGTGGGTTTCGGGAACCCATGGGTAATACCCGCCCCGTACATCCAGCATTATAGTACCTAATATTTTACATGTAGATTTTTAATTATAACATCAAATGCACCTACTATAACATCAATTAGTCCATAAGATAGAGTACAATGTAATTCAAATCATTATTCTCTACTCGATCTTATACATCTACTAAGTAATAATTAACTAATATAATATTGTTAACAAGGGGGAAACGTGAAAGAGTGAAGGAAAAATTGAGAGAACGAAATTAGATTCTGATTTGGGTGGTCACTCAATTCCATTTCAGGGTTCTAAAACGCGCTAGGCGTAAGGCAGGCGCTCGGCTCCTGACTTGCGCCTTGCCCGATTAGGCGTAGCCTAGGCGCGCCTTGGCGTTCAGAGCATAAATGAAAAAATTCTCAAATATTTCTTATTTTCTGGAATAATTCATATAATCCAAGTGCATATAAAATTAGCAATGCCTAGTTTTTAACAGTAAACACTTAACATAACAAATAACAAGCAAATAGTGACCAATCATCTGCTAATAGGTGCTTATAGAGGCAAGAAGCTTGTACTACGTACCGAGGAGAAGGAAGGAGCAGTAATTGACGAGTTTCGACATAATTTCCCACTATAGCAGCGGAGCGGTGTGAAGGCGAGAAGAGTGATCGATAGCTTTCTCCTGCGGCGGCAGAGAGCAGCAAATGGGGCGAGAGCTAGGGCGGCAGACGGCAGCAGATGTTACTTCCCGTGTTTCTGATTTTCTAGGGCAAGAGGCAAGTTTCTGATTTTCTAGGACAAAACGAAGAGTATTGGGTTTAACCGCCTAAGCTCGTCCAGGAACGCCCAGGCACGCCTTCTCTCCACTAGGCGCAAACTAAGCGTTATTCCTACCTACTAAGCGCTACCAGCGCCTTTTACAACGCCTATGGCCAAGTCAAGGCGATCCTCCACCGCCTAGCGCCTAATTGAGCCTAGGCGTGCGCCTAGGCGTGCCTTCTTGAACCCTTCTACTATATATTTTCTTGAGTTAAACTCACTATTATTGATAGATTATAAATTTTATTCACATATTTTTCATATGTGAAGAAATACTTTTGGTGGGGCGGGTATGGGGCGGGGGAGACTAAAACCATACCTGCCCCATACCCAATCAATGTAGGAATTCCCCGCGTTGAAACACTATCATAACTGGTTTTCTTTTACATGTGATCTTAGTCAAATTACTTAGGAATTTTCTTGCCTAAATTACATGTGATCTTAGTCAAATTACTTAGGAATTTTCTTTTATTACATCATAATTTAGCTATAATAAAGTTGTAAATTAGTTAAAGCCTAAATTTCTCTAATAATTTAACTATATTTATCATAATTTTGTTTGTTTTCTTGGTCTTATAATAAAAATAACGAATATTTTTAATGTTTTTCATATAAATTGCACACTCATTGGGTCGACCTGCCCGACCTGCGACCCGTGATAAATTACCCGACCTGCCACGAAACGAGTCTGGGTACCAAGAAACCCGCCCCGGACCTACCCATTGCCATTCCTAATACCAAACACAGAAATTAGCAGCATGAGAGATGAGGTGCCATTTCATTCATGGTTGATTGAGAGAATTGAAATGATATGAGAGATATGAAGGAGGAGGAATCGAGGGCGGGGTCCAGCTGAGTTGGGGTGGGTACGTGGTTAACATGGAGAAGATGTGGAGGAGGCTAGCCTAGCTTGTTTGATTATTAGGATCACACTCACAACAAGAATTGAACCAACCAGCAAGTGTGGCCTCTCTCTCTCCCTCTCTCTCTCTCTCTCTCTCTCTGGTACGTGGTATGATGCAGTAAGCGAGCGAGCACGAACCAAGTATGCCATTGCAAGCAGAGATGATGGAGCTTCGATGGGGCTCCACAGATTGAATCAATCACCCCCACACATATACAGAAATAGCAGCTGCTTCGTATCGTACATATTCTTCTCTTCCGCCAGCTCGATCCCTCCTCAAGCTTCTATCGATGGACCACCCACCAATCAGTTTTGTTTGTATATGTTAATGCCAGCCATGTCGATCGTCGGGTTCCATCAAACTTCATTTTCACTATGATTTGTTTCTTGGATCTAGTTTTCCCCCATTGTCACTGCCAAAATGAAACGAATGGTTGATTCATTTGGTTCCAAATTGCAAGTTATAAAGAGTTGGTTCAAAAATATTGATGGATCTTATGCATTTTTCCCCAGTGATTAATTCCATGTATTTGGTTGGCTACATTTATGAAGTTGTTATGTTATTTGGCTTGATTTTGTGCTATATTGCAATGATTTAATTTGTTCTTAATTTAGATGAATTGGCAAGTGTTTAGTTCGGTGTATATGTAACATTTCGATTTTTTCTTACAAACATATTGTATGTTTTATGCCTACTTACACAAGATTTTGTTTTTGCCTTTTTGGAGCGTATCATGGTGACTTTTCGAGAAGTGACCCATCTCAATACTCCTCTATATTGAATATATTAAATTTTAGAGTTCTTACAAAAACTTTTGCGTTTGATTCACAAACTCGTCTAATCGTTTAATATTGAATGTTCCTTAAAAATCATAGA